AAATTCAGGTGTCGTTGACATGTAATTTTTGGGCAATTAAGCATTTTTTTGACAAGCTGTATTTTTTTAATGACGTTTATTTTAATATTTTCCTAGACTTTAAATTTTTATATCATTATAATGTACGTTTTTGCGGAATTATTAGATTTGTGGTGATTGAAACTTTTGTCCAGGGAGCACATTTGGTCCCATTTGTTTTGCCCTCGCAACTCATAGTATTAGTATTAGTGTGCTGATGAGATTTTTTAGAGTACACATTAATATATAACTAATCTTTCTTTATCATGAACTCAATTTATTAGTTATTTGCTATTGCTACTATTTATATCTTACTTCAAAGATTTATTTTCTTCCGACTAAATTTTTTATTAAAGTATAAGAAAATTGGCATTTATGGATAAATGATCCCAACAAACCGATATAAATATTCGATTAATCATCCTAATATTAGAATATCAGCATTTCTAATAGCTGCGGATTCTTGATAAAATAAATTATAAAAGCCTTAATGAAGTAAACTTCAGCTCGCTATATCATAACGAAGCAGAAGTATCCAGGAAGGGGCTAGAGATTAATGTAACTAAATGAATCAGGGAAACAAAGCGACATGACTGCATCATAATTACAAGGTAATGTTGTCTGTATTGTGGAAAATATGCTAAAGTTGCTGCATGGAGAAATTCAATTTTATATGCAGAATCGGAATGTTCCAGATGATGCCTTAAGTTACACCTTTGGGAATTGTGGAAAGAGAATATGCTAAATAAATACACGACCACAAAGATACAAAGGAAAAGTTTACTTGGCTTTTTCAAGCATTTATTTCGACTAGTGAGCTTAATTGTTCTGGATTATGAGCTGGATTTTAGGTTAATAAGAAGATCTTGTTTAGCTATTTGGGCTGACAAATTAAAGATTAACTGCTGTGCTTTACTTTCGGGTGAATAATATAGTAGGTATAAGTTATTGTCAAAAGACAATACTGACACTTTTCCTTTGGGGAGATAAAACCATCACATTTGAGATATGTTAATGATTTATTTGATTTCATATTTATTGTATCGAAATAAATGTTTGCTAAATAGTTAATAAAAACATTAACATACACTCTTGTCCACCAAATTTCTACAATTCTCCATTACTATCAACTAAAACTTAAAAGATTAAACACAATTACCAAACGAAATGCCATTAACTCATTAATTAGTCATTACTCAATAGATAATTAGGTATATCAGAAACTATATTACCTCCTAAATCGGCAAAATATTCACCAAAGTTTATCATGGATGGTGGGATTGTGGTCCAGACCATCCCGACAGCGCAAATGTTGACTTGGTGTTTTCACCCTTCCTAACAAAGTATGATCAAAAAATCACATCATCAAAGGAAGATACATAGCTGCAGGCTTACTCTTTCTTAATCGAATCAAGCTTCGCATTATCCAAGTATATTCACCAGCAATCTCTGATCCTAACATTACTAACTCCAGCTCATAATCAACTAATTTCATTTATCAATCGAAGCTCGCAAAATAATTTCTCTTTAATTATAATGGGTAATTTCAATTCGAACCAATTGTTGCTTCTTCACATTTATTGTTGGTTTCTTTAGAATCTGTAAATCATATTATAATTGTTTGAATTTTTTTTTTTTTGATTGTTGAAATGCTTCTTTATTTATTATTTCCGAAAACAAATCCTCATTCATTGATTATCGAACTAATTCTAATGGATCATAATCTAGACTAATATTATCATCATTATAATCTTTACAGCTTTCCAATTCCATATCCTCGTCCGTCTTCCAAAAAAATTATCTTCTAAATCCATAATATCGCGAACTTTTAAATCCTCCGTTTCATGATCATTGTTATCATCAATATAATCACTAGACTATCGCCCGAATTAATTTATGCTTCAACCATATACCCTTTAAATTCTTTTCTGATAAGTCTGGCCGGTATATTGTAATTATTTTTTAATATTGTTCAGATAAAAAGGATAAATTTTAGCAATATTTTTTACAGAATTAATATTTGGATTTTGACTATTCTTCCTATAAAGTCCCCTAAATATAAACCAATGCATTCATATCCACCATTATGTGGAGCAATTGAGAAGAATTTAATTGCTAATGGCCATAATTATCGTATACCATCATGAAAGTTGACTTTCATATTGATCATTATATGTTGCATTATAATGTACATGTATCTATATTTCTGCGGTCGAGAAAGGTTTTTAATTTTTGGATATGCTGGTAAATATTAGTGATGTAAGCCGGTAGAAAAAACTTAGCTGGCTATGCTGTACAACTCTTAGCCGGCTAATAACTTAAATAAATCTCAGTTGATGGGAAGCTTTTCAGATGGTACTGAGCTTGCCGGTATTATTACTAATACTATTATTATTATTATTTACTATCGTTATTACTATTTAATGGTTCGAGTAAGACCTATTCGAATTATTTGCTTTATTCGTTAACATTGAAAATTTACTCGCTATCAATCTGAGTATTCGAATTACATTGAAGATTTATTCTAATAAACCAATAAACGAATAATTCGAATAATAGTAACTCGAATTAAGATAGTATTATGACGAATATAATCTCTAACTATTACTTTTATCCTGCTACGAGTATTATTTTTTTAATTTTTTTTGAGGAAACGTATGATTTTTTTGTTATTCTAAGTAATGCAGATGGACCCATACTAACTAAGTGTCTATGCCACTGAAGTCTGCACTAAAATTTTTGGCGTGAAAATGAATACTAAGAGAAATTTTTTTTTAGCCGGCTCATATCACTAGTAAATATCCTATATGATAGAATCCTTTCAAATTTATTAGCACAAAATTTTTTAAGACTAGAGTTTGTGTTGGTGTGAATTCTTTTAATTGCAACAGCCAACTAACTTAAGAATTAAGTATATACAGTAAGCAATACATCTAAGATCAAATATATGAGGTATTCTTCAGAAATATTTCTCTAGCCAACTTAACATTAGATTCATTATCGGTTACTATAGCCACGAAACTTTGTGAACCTATTTTACAGCAAGAAATTGATCTGTGTGACTACAATGAGAAAGACTTTCTACAGAAAATAAATATTGTTGTCTATTTGATGTACTGCATATATCAAAAAATTCCATAGAGTTGCATTTAGGATCAGACCAACCGATCTAGTTAGTGCTAATGTCAAATTATCATTTGAATCAAATATTGTATTTAATTGCGGATTAGTTAATGAGATTCATCTATAAATAATTTTCTGATAGATACTCACGAGAAGAAGGTTCATATGCAGGTCTTAATTGTTTCAAAAGTTCTATAAAAAAGGGATTTTCAACAATATTCCATGGAATGTACAACATACAAAACCTGTAGTAATGATTTATCAATTGAATTTTTTTCTTTGGTTGTGCTTTCATAAAAGAGTTTGAACCTTTTGTTTTGTGTTTCGTTGTTTCATTGATTGTTAATTCCATCCAAATAAAAATGAAAAATAGAATAATGAATCCAGGACATTCATTAGCTGAATGAGCCTTTAGTTTAAAAGGTGTTCCAGAATTCCAGGTTTTTGGGCAATATTTGCAAGATGCTGAGTAATGTCCTTTTATTTTCCCTTCCTTTAATGAAGTGTCTATCCAACCTAACTTCAACCATACTCCACTTATAATCATTGCAGCTGGATTAATTCCATCATCTCTAATTAACTCCGTATGTCCAATATTTACTTCTCACCAAAAAAATCTCAATCATTATCCCTCACATCATCTAATAAATTTCTATTATAAAAATATGTGGCTTCCAATGATGTACATTGTTTAACTCGTGATTAAAACAAACAACATCAATCTAAAACAAAACAGCTAATCAATTGTATCCACTGCCTAGGTGGTATCCGGATCAACCGACAATCTCTATGATTCAATTAAAATTGCTAATAGACTTTGTTTGGATTAAAGACACCTACTGTAATTGGTTACCATTATAAAACATTTACACTACCCGGACAAAAGTTTGTGAACGTTGTTTTTTGTTAATTACGCAAAATACTACATAATAACAACACATAAAATTTTAATATAATACGGCCTAGGTTCTTGTTCGTTTTTGTATAAAATTTGATGTTTTTTGTATTTCTAGTACTTTATTAATTAAAAAAAAACCGAAAGTTGATTAAATTTTAAAATGTTTACAGTATTTTCATGATGTTTCAAAAATTTTTATAATAAAAATATTTAAAATTATATCATATAAAAGTTATGGTTTTGGAGAATGAACTGTATGATTTTAAATACTTTAACGCATCTAGATTTTATTTCTTTCGTTATTTTTTTTTCTAGATCTAAATCGTGATCTGCAAAAAAATTTTATTAAAATCATAAAAATTCCAAAATATGCGGAACTGACTGAACTTGACCGTGGAAAAGTTTTGGGTCTTCATCTATCTGGAAATATGTTAAAAATTGGATGGGCACTCTCAATCACCAGATCTTAATCCGATTGAACATCTCTGGGGTGAACTTGAGAGGAGGCTAAAAAAACGTGCAGTGCATCCAAAAAATAAATCGGAATTGGAAGTTGCGGTGAAAGAAGAATGGTTAAAAATACCTTACGAAACTTTAGAAAAACTCATTGAAAGCATGCCAAGAAGAATTGAGGCATGTATTTCTAATGATGGGTGGCCCACTAGATATTAGTCAATTTTTTTCAATTTTAACTTTTTGAAGATCTTTTCAAAAAAAAAGTATTTCGTTTTTTTTTTATTAATAAAGTACTAGAAATACAAAAAACATCAAATTTTATACAAAAACGAACAAGAACCTAGGCCGTATAATATTAAAATTTTATGTGTTGTTATTATGTAGTATTTTGCTTAATTAACAAAAAACATCGTTCACAAACTTTTGTCCGGGTAGTGTAGCTGCAAAGGCCAAACACCATAAAAGATTGTACCATAATTGGTTTCTTTTATAGTACTACATAATTATGTTTAGTCAAGATTATTTCTTTGGTAAAACCAAAAAACTGCTACTTATATTATTAATCGTTCTTGAATAATATATAATTATCAATATGAAGTGTACATTATTATATTTTTTACTCAAGAATAATCTAACAAATTGTTTTTGTGCAATAAAGTAAATATTACGACAAAAAGTATATTTTAATCAATAAAGTCGTAAATAATTACAGCTCTACCTACGGTTTACGATTTTTGCGGTTTTGGGGTGCCCTGCCAATTTTATTTACGACTTATACCGTAATTCGACGTCAAGTATAACAATTAATTTGTAATATTTCTAGTTATAATTTTGGTGGGTTGAGAGAAACATTTTTATTTTCCAAAATAATAAATAACGAATTATCCTCACATATCACCATATTATATGGGTTCCTATCTATTTGTCATATTTCAGAACATTCCACACAACCAAAAAATCAAAATGCTAGAACAAATATTTAATTAGAAATCGTATTTCGTTCTAGCTATACAACAATGAATGGCATTACATGGTATTAATCTTTATGTTTCATATTGCTCTGGCATTTTAGGCCACTCGAAATGACCAAAAACTTACAGATTTTTCTTAAGTGGGTTAGAAACGTCCATGGTGGACGAAGCAAACATTACCTACATCCTAATGAGTTTAGAAACTATGATGTTCAAATGATAATCAAGAAAAAATTCAAAAATTTGCAATAATAACTTATTAAAATAGATGTTGGCGTGAATATATAATTATCCGTTCTCATTCTTGCCACCGCAAAAAACAAAAAGACTTAAAAGAAATGAGCCAACATTGAGGCTTTTTTTTATATTAATATTAATTTTTGATCTTTGATTTGTTCGCAACTACAATTAGTTGAAATTATAGCAGAATTGATGGGGGCGTGGAAGTTAAGTCATTGCAATAAAAAAGTAAAAAAAGATTTTTTAATATATACAGTACCTGGGCAAAAGAGTCGGATTCGTGTTCCTATATATTAGCACTAGATCTTGCTGATTCGTGCAATATAATTTTTATTGTTTGTATTTTTTTTTTTCAAAACAAAAATCTAGTATTTGAGAAACGTGCGCTTCCACTAATTATACATAAAAAATCATATCATTTTGCATCTTGGGCTTTTAATGAATACGAATGCAATTTTTTTGTATGAATGAAAATTTTCAATTAAAGAAATAGAAATTCTATCCAAGTCGTTCTATCTTTTGTATTTTTATATAAATAAATTTATATCAGTATATATATAGCCTGGGTTTCTCAAAATATTTTCACTGATTTATAGTTAGTAGATAAAAAATAAATGATTTAAGCTATAGAAAAGCTTGTAACATTAATTTTAGATATGAGATAAATTAATTGGTTGTTATTATGTGTGCAATTAAAATTTTTTAAAGTTATGACTGCCGAAATTCTAATAAACAATTAGTGTGTAACCTGCTGAAACTCTACCGATTGATTTCTATAGGAGTTTTGGCAAGCAACCATAGTTATACTGAAGTTTGATATTGCAGTTTGGTTAAAATTGTGCTTTGAAATGTGTGAACCGAACCGCATCGGTTCATGGTTTAAACACTTAACCACTTCTGGAGGAATTTGATAATAAAAGTCCATGCGGTTATCCTTCAATTATTGTTCTATTCCGATGATGAATCCGTCGGCTAAATAGACCGGCTATAATCCTAACAAAATATACACATTAACAATAGCATTTCTTGAGCTTCAGTTACCATTATCAGGGGACAAACAAAGATAGCTGTCTGTTCATCATGCAAGTCTGCAGAAAATCGTAAATTTCCACCTGTTTTAATTCCTCTTTTGCGTTTGATTTTAATTGCTCAAATGTGGATAGAGATGTCATAACTGAATATAGAAGACTAGCATGTTACATGTACTGCAACAAACAGAACAATATGTCGTAGTGAATATAAATGGTTGATTGCCAAAACTCTACCAGAAATCAATTGGCAGGTTACACTAATTGTTTATTAGAGTTTCAGCAGAGTTTCAGCAAGCAACCTTAAATATGATTGCTAAGTGTAACATTATGATTAGAAAATATTTGACCATTATCCTTGGAGTAGATGGAATTCAAGTAGCTAGGAGAAATCCTGTTGGTGGGACTGGATAAAAATTTACTTTTCTAATTGTTTACCAACAACATCACTCAATTTTTACTTGCCTATGGTTCTGCAACTGTAAATCAAAAAACGCATGTCTTCCTAACACTTCTGCAGAGAATATGGCAACCTGATTTTCTGATATCCTGATATTTAACATGCTTGTTAATGATATGGGTGGTCATGGAAGGATGGGGTCAGGGATAATGATTTTCTGCAGTAACAAAATACCATCCATGATAAAATCAAATTCTGCAGGATCCTGTGACAAATCTTTGTTAGCATAAATTACAATTGATAAATTATTGAATTTTGCATTCATGAAAACATAAAATCGACTTTTATGGCTTTCCACTTGCTCACTCCAAAAAATATATTTTCACAATAATAACAATGGTAATCTCCCAAAAAAATATTAGTGACTATCGAAATAAATAAGGTTATGATCACCGAAAATCTTGGCCAATGAATTAAGTGCCATTACATTGTATTGATTCACGAAAAATTTTTATATTTTCATCTCACTTTTAATAAAAGGATTATGAGTTCTTCTACTGGAGACATTACAACCATAAAAGGAAAAAGTTTTCTTTCTGCTAGTGGCTCAACAGAGTTAGGCAACATTCAAATCAAATATGTTGGTGTTATGACTGCATGTACCTACGTGTTAGTTTGTTTTTTTCGTTTAGTGACAGGAATCTTACAGTCTCTAGGTTAAGATAAAGATATTTTCACAGAAATTATTTATATTTATTGAATGAATGAAATGAATGAATGAAATAAATAAACGAAATAAAAACGCGTTAATATTTATCAAAAAAAAAAAAAATTTTTAGTCGATAATAGCAGCAGCAGTACAGATGATTCCATAATTAGTGATCGGTTTATACCAGATACTTTGTTTGCTTTCATTTATGCATTTATTGGAATAGTTCCGATAATGACTATTCGAAAATTATATATACAAAATTCAGGTAAATTAATCCAATGATTTTTAATCTAAATATTATTATTAAATAACATTATTAACATACATTAATTATAATTAGTCCATCGATCTACTGCTAAAAGTTTAAAGCAAGAAATATATTTTACCGTAACAGATAAATTTTTATGGAGTAATTTTTTTGGTTATTTGCTTTCTATGTGGAGCATAGAACATGGTTTTTATACTTACATTATGAAAGATTATGAAAAAATAAACTCATTATACTTAATTCCTGGTACTGAACAGTAAGTCACTATTTATTATTAGTACTACTATTAAAATAATGTTATTATTATTATTATTAATTCATAGCTAATTATGTGATCAATCTATCAATTCATTGATCAATAATAGATTTATTTGTCCAAGTCATCGTAAAGATAGTTGTGATAATCTTAGACCTACAATTAATGAGTATAAAGCAATATCAATTACTTTTAATTTAGCATTAAGTGTATGGTATGTAATTGATCATATATTTAATAAGAAATACATGTTATCATTTCATATTGGTGAGGTAAACTAAAAAAATAAAAATATCATTTGATAAATTGTATCAATTAATTATTATTAATTGTTATTAATATATATATATATATTTTAAATATAAAATCAGCCAAGATATTTATTAGATTTACATAATGAAATTTGGAAATTATTTTCTCGCAAGTATGATGAATTATTTTGCAAGATTATTTATACTAGCATACAGTTTAGTGTGATATTCTGGATATTGAAATTATTATTTTGGGAATCATTTTTCAGGTAATTTAATCAACTAATTAATTTGAATTCTTCTCATGAGTTTCAAAATTTTAATATACTTTTATTGATATATATAGTTATGTTGTACTTTATCCTTGGTTAAGAGCCCCATGGTTTGACATTATACTCTTTAATCGAACAGTCTATTGTTCAATTTTCATCATGTCTTTTTGGTCGTTAACTCATTTTTTATTTGATCATTTCTTTACAAGGGTTTGTTATTGGAATATCTTAAATTCAATGAATTAAAAAAAAAGATATATATATGCTTTGATTTTATTCAATATCTAAAAAAAAATTTAATTTATATCATATAGATAATCCTTGTAACTGGAAAATTTGTAGATCCCAATGCAATGCTTGTTGATGGATTACATGGTTACAAATTTCCTTATTTTCAAGTAATTTTATTTCTTAAAAATGAAAATATATAAATAAATATATATATGCATTGTAAATTAAATTTTTATTATATTATATAATAGCAAATAGCTTTTATGGAATTATGGCATATTTCAAAATATGATCATGAAAGACGTAATTTAATATATTCAGACTTTAATCGCAAACAACCATATGAATGCCCATTACACAATAATCCAATTTCTACTTGGACAGAAATTTCATATTCTTGCATGGATTTAATAATGAAATTGACAAATGATGCAGAGAAAGAGCTAGAGGGTCAAAAACAAAAATTATTGCTTTTAAATAACAAATATGATGAAATTAGAAATTTAACAAAAAAATCAGAAACAACAACAAATCAACAACAGCAACTATTACACAATCAACCAAGAGTTGTTCATGGAAATCTGGAAGTTAATCCAACGCTTGATACGTTAAAGAAAGATCCAATATATACAGAATTGTATTATTTGGAAAGATATCACTTGATTTTTGGTGATAAACATAAAATTATCAGAAAATTATATGCTTTATTCATTGTTCCAATTTTCAAGGAATCGATTGAATATAGAACAGCTATTGTTTGTAAAGATTTTTATACCGTTATCTTTGCGATACAATGTAAGTTTTGTATTATAAAATTTATTTTATTATTTATTTATTAATAAATATCTAATATTATTTATAAATAAATACGAATAGCGCTTACAACATTAACCACCAAATCAATAAAAGAAGATAAATACGGGGTTGTCCAGAACCATATTTCACCAATATTTGAATCGTTGTTGTTATGTTTGATATTACTTGAAAATTATGTTAAGGAACCACCACTTAATTATTGGGATATTGGAGATCCTTATTCAACCACATCATCTAAAGTCTTGGCTGAACCCGTAGCAATAATTAATGGTTAGTCAACTCTTTTATTAAATAAAATAAACAATTAATTAATTAATTGTTTTTGTTTGACAAATGAAAATAATAGTACTGAAGGATTCGTTGATCAGCTTATATATGACGTTTAGAGAATCTATGGATTATGTAAAATTGACAGACATAACTAACGGTAGATTAAATAAATTGGTAAAAGAACTTTTTTAAATAAATCACTCGAGTAAAATTATCGTGAAACGTCAAAAATAATCATTTGAATACAAAAAAGTATAGCAGTAAATGATTCCTGAGAGATTTTCACAATAAATAAAAATATGTGCAATGACGATTAATTGCATAAAAGCATATGATAAAAAATGTTTAATTCTTCCTTAACATTACATCACACTAAGTTATCTCAGCACAATACTTAATATTCATCAAACTATTATCATCTATTGTCACGATGATTACGATGACACAATTATTATATCTAACGTTCACGCGCCATTTCAACAATTTTAACCCAAATAATTAGTAACCAGTTTCGCCTATATAAAGTGCGAGAATTCTAGTTATTCTCACAATAAATTATTATTCCTTGTAAAAAAAAAAATAAAAATCATACAAACAAATTCTCTCAAAAACAAAACATAAAAATGACTACTTATTACGAGAAAGTTAAAGAATCCGTAATATCAAACGAAACGTTTCAAAATAGTACCAGAGAAATCGGTAGAGTTGCAAATGATGTTACCTCGGAAATTCAAAAAGTAGCTGCAAAAAATAACATTAATTCGCCCTTACCTTCTGATTTCGTAAGTGAGGTCGATAAAGCTGCTAGTATCTTGAGTTCTTTTACCGGTAATTATATAATTAATTATTCGATTATCCAATTAATTATGCGTGGTGGTAATTGTGAAATTATTAAAATTTCTTGTAGATAAATCTGGGGGTGGTTTAGAAATGACAATTCCAAAAAAGGTCATTCAAGAAGCAAAAGGTTTGGCTATTTTCACTGTGTTCAAAGCTGGCCTTTTTTGGTCAGGACGCGCTGGATCTGGTATAGTTATTGCAAGGTAAGAAATAAAATCATATTTTGCTCCCCATGACGACAAAAATTTTTTAATAACCAAAAACTTCTTATATAGAACTCAAGATAATACTTGGTCTCCACCATCTTGTATAAACATTGCGGGTGTTGGGTTTGGTGCACAATTTGGCGCCGATGTTACTAACTTTGTAATTATTCTTAACACTGACAAAGCGGTTAAAGCTTTTAGTTCTGGTGACAATGTCACTTTGGGTGGAGGTTTATCTGGTAAATTTATAATAAGTATTTACTATATAATATTATATTAAATAATAATGCTAATATATATATATATATAATTGTCGTTTTTTATATAGTATCTGCTGGCCCCATTGGTATGGGCACGGAAG